AAGGCCGTCAAGGTGTTTAGCTTTAGGAATTTGAAAGCTAATGGCTTGAAACTTGAATATTATATGTAAAATTGTATAAGCGACAATTTTATTTAAAGCTAAATAGTATGATTACTTAATAAAATTAGATATAAAAAGTGTTTTTGTGTTTTAGAATTTTTGAAAATTTTTGTACTAGGGATTTACGGGAAAGAGTTAATACACCTTTTACTGACAACTGTTTTTTTGAAAAATCATTAATAGTATTATAATTATATTAAAATATTTAAGAATAGATTAATAGGTTTAATTGAATATTAGGTTAATATATATTTATAGATTGGTGTTGAGTTGAATTTTGAAGATATTTAAACTAAAAACAATATTCTTTCTCTTGTAGATTTGTTAATATGTAAGTATATATTATTTCAAAAAAGTAGATATTTGTTATCTGATTTTAAAAGTTGTTTTAAAAATAAGATTTTTTATTTTGTAAGCTTTTAATTATAAAAAAATTGGAGTAGAAATAAAGTTGTATATTAGATTTAATTTATATTATAAAAATGTATTCAGATTTATATTTGATTTTTTAATTGGAGAAGATAATATATAGAAGTAAAATTATTAAAATTTTTTATAATATTTGGATTGTAATAGAGATAGTTGCTATGTTTTTAGAAGTTATTTTTTAATTCTATATTCAATAGTTTGTTTAAGAAATAGTAATAAATTGATTGCTTTTTTAATAATATTGTATCTAGTATATAAAATAGGTTTTTATATAGTGAAAGCATTTAATAGAAAATAGTTTGTAAGTAGGTTATTGTTTGTATTTAAAGATAGTTTAAAGATTTTTTAAATTGTTTAGTAAGAAGTGAAGAAAGTTTTTTAGTTTATTGAGTTGTAAGAGAGATAACTTGGAGATAATATTCTAAAAATGTTGCTAGTATAGTATTAAATAATCTTGATATTTGTATAACTAAAAGTTTTTTAAATTGAATAAGTTTAAAAAAATTTTTAATTTTATTAAAGATTTTTTCTAGAATTGGCTTAGTTGATTTGCTACTATTAAAAAAGATATCAAGTTATTTATCTAATTATATTTGTAGATTTGCAAGGATATTTAGATTTATTGTTAAAGATAAAAGTATTATTTGTTTGGGTTGTTGATAAATTTTTAGATTTGGATTTAAGATGAATTAAATCTAATTTAGAGAGATTGACTTAAATATTGTCTAGTTTATAGAGTTTTGTAAGATTATTTATAAGATTTTAAAGTAAATTTTAGTTTTTATAGTACCAAACTGTGTTATTCATAAATGCTAGTAGAGAAATAGTAAGAGATAAGTTAAAAGAATTTGTAATTTGATCTAGAGAAGTTGTTTTTGATGAAAAAGCTAGTATAAATTCCAATTTAGCTAATTAATATATATTATTTTATTTTGAATTAGATTTAATTAAAGATCTAAAACTAGTTAGATTAAAAAAAATTATAAACTTGAATTTAAATTATAGTTAGTATATAATTAGAAACTAGCTTTATAAAGTTTAAATTATTTTATCTTTAATTATAAATAAATAGTAATTGAAATTAAATAGATTAAAGTTATTTTTAATTATCTTAATTAATTAATTTAATAATAATTATAATAATATTTAGTATTATAATAAATAATAATATTAATAGAATTAAAATTTTAAATATATATATATATATATATTTTTTAAATTTAGCAATTTTGTCAATTACTTTATTAGACTTGAATATTATTTCTAAAATAATACAATTTTTTTTAAAAAAAAACCTTTTTAATATCTAAATTACAAGTATTGGCTTATCTGGTTACTAATAGAGATCTATGTATAATTTGCTATATCAAGAATTTTTCTTCATATTAATTAATTCTAAAATTGAATTTCTTAATACTTCTATGAATAAACTCTTGTAGCCTATCAAGGCTGCTTACTTTTTCTTCTAATTTTTCTTTTTTTTTAAAAGACATGAAATAAAAAGAAGTAAATTTATTAAAAAAAACAGAAAAAAATAAAAATAAAAAAAAAAACAAAAAAAAAAGCAAAAAAAAATAATACAAATATCAAAAAAAAAAAAAAAACAGAAAACAAAGTAAAATAGTAATGATAACATATTTATACTTATATCAAAGTCTAAAAATTATATATTAATTGTAACTAATTAATTTATCTTAATTGTAAAGTATTATTTTATTATTGTAAATTTATTCTAAACATGTCACTAGAATTAGATAATTTCTAAACAGGAGTATTGGTCTCTTCACTGTATTATAGCATTATATTAATAAACAAAACAAATATGTAGTTGCATTATACTAAGTTTATCTAAATTAGGTAAGTTTAAACAATCCTAATCTTTTAATGGTAGTAAGCCAAAATGCTTACTTTTTGTTAAAAATTTTAATATAATCAACAAAAGAAGAGAGAGAGGAGAGAAAAACTACACTTGTACTATAAAAAAAAATGTATATTTTTTTAACTAGATTAACAAAAATTTCTATCAGAATATACAAAATACTAAATTTTTTTAGTAAGTAATAAACTCTGAACTTGTTAGCAAATAGTATATAAAAACTATCTTTAAACAACAAATGCCATATTTATGATAAATAAAAAAACTTTAAAACTACTAGCAAGTAGTATATAGAAACTATTTTTAAATAATAGTTGCTAATTTGTAGTTATATTTTTAATATTTTATAGTTTAGTATCAACTTTCTGTATTTTTTTTTAGTTTATAGTTTTTTAAAAATTTTTAGTACAAATAACTATTAAAAAAAGTTAATATACTTTTTTTTATTTTCTATAATCTTTATAATAATATTTAAAATATTTAAAAAATTTAATAAAAAATTTTTATACAACTAGCTAACAAAGCTTTAGCTTTAATTATATTAGCTTCTTATTTAAATAATTTTATTAATTTAAATTTTTTATTACAATAGCAACAAAATAATTTTATAAAATTATTAATAAAAGTTACTTTGTAGTAATAAAAGATATAATTTTTTTTTATAAATAATAATATTAAATATTAGATGAATTTTAATATATATTACAATTATTACTTGTAGTTAATTTGCCAATTAAAATTTAAGATCAGATATAACTTATAAATTAATTTTGTCTAACAAAAAAAAAATTTCTTAAAAAATACTTATAAATCAAAATTTTGTTTATAAAAGCATTTTTAAACTCTAAAAAAATTTCTGCTAAATTTTATTATATATAAAGCTCTACACTAATTTTTAACCGCTAACTCTTACTATAACTCTAATAGTAAAGAGATTAATTTTTGTTTTTATATAGTAAAAATTATTTTTTTTATACATTGTAAATTATAAATAATAATTACTTATAGTAAATATTATATTATTTCTAAATATTAATATATGAAGTAAAGCTAATAGAAAAAAGAAAATTTTTTCTAAATAAAAGTTTTCTTAACTTTAAGCTTAAATATTTTATAATTTTTTTTATTTTATTTCAGGGAAATATTATTATAGTGCTATAGTGCCGTGGCACTACCCTTACATAATCTGCTAATTAAAATAGTCTTAACATTGAAAACATAGTACCATGATGCTACCCTTATGTAATTAATTAAATAAACTTTTATAAAAAAAAGCTTATACTTTTTATTTAATCGCTCTACAGTTGATTTTTCTGCTTACGCCTGATTTTCATCGTACTATCCTATTCACACTTAACTTTATTCGATCGGTTTACACCAATTCGTTTTGTTATTTGCTTGCAATTGATCTTTCAACGTATTGCCTATTTATCTCACTACTTTACCTTACACTTGGTTTTCCATCGTGATACCCTATTACCTTTTTATTCGATCACCCTACACTTGATTTGTCTTACTATTTTGCTCGCACTTAGGCTGTTGTGCTGCCCTATTTACCTTATTACCTTACCTACGTTTGATCTTTGCCCTATTTATATTAAACGATGGATGAATTTAATGAATTTGTTGTTAGTAATGATTCACTATATGGATTTGCCGGAACTAGCGCATCCGCATCATACAATAATGTCTTGGGTGATTTTGTTGTTAATAACACCCTATACAATTACCCAAACGAATTTGATGTTAGTAATATCTTGTATGAAAATGATGATACGATGAATTGTGAGGATACTCAGCACGAGAATGTAATAATGGATGACAGATTTCAGGTCATAAATAAAGATCCTCAAGGTGAAGAATTACGAATGAACATGATATTCCGTAGCTGGGACCACGTGATGAACGAAATCGAAAAGTATGGGAAGAGACAGGGATTTAAGATGCGTTGCTATCGTATTGAAAGGAATAATGACTGTATCCGGAGACGTACATTGGTTTGCGAACATTATGGAAAACCCGAGGCCACAAAGAGCAAGGACCCAAAGAAGGAAACTACTTCTAAATGCGTTGGGTGCATATGGCAGATAAATCTCTCATGCCCTGAAAAAGATAACCCTCATAAGATCGTATACATTACAAAGTTAGTTGATGAACATAAGAATCATGATCTTGACCGTAAGCGTTTTGATTTTCAGGAAAATTTAGAGTTTACCGTGGATATGATTAAGGATGTTGAATTTTATGTGACAAAGATGAATTGTAGCCCTCAACAAATACGCAAAGCTCTGGAAGAAAAATATTCCTTAAAAGTTTACATGCCTGTGCTGCATCGGGTAATTCAACAATTTCGCCCCAAAACAAATGATCAAACAAATGATGCCAGCCATTTGTACGAAGAATTGTTGAAAAAAAAAGAAACTGACCCATGATGGTATGTTGAAGTAGACTGGAACCCTTACAGTAAATGTCTTTGCCGATTATTTTATATGTCTCCTGATCAAATTGAACGGTGGTTGAAGTTTGGAGATGTTGTTTTAAACGATAATACTGCCGCTACAAATCGCTATGAAATGGCGCTTTCACTTTTTTTGGTAGTCGACAACCATTTATCTTCTCGTTTGGTGGCTCAGGCTTTAACTGATGATGAAACAAAGGAGGCACACACCTGGATATTGCAACAAATTAAAAAAGCGACATTTGAAGCTACTCCTCATGTTATCTTCACTGACGCTGATCCCGCTTTGATTGCCGCAATACGGGACAAGTTTCCAACAACATATGCTCTTCATTGTATGTTTCATATTGCACAGAATCTTCCCCTCAATTTAAAAAATATTCTCAGAGATCGTTATGATGAATTCATCAAGGATTTCTTCGAAGTACAACGAAGTAGTTTTATAACAATCTTCGAATACCGGTGGAAATGCCTACTTGAAAAGTATAACAATGAAAATGTAGTTAGTTACTTACACCGTGTACTTTATACGAACAAAGAATCATGGGCAAAAGCGTTTGTACTTAAATTGTTCACAGCCGGAATGTCTTCGACTTCTCGAGTTGAAAGCTATAATGCGAAGATCAAAAGATTAATATTCAACTCTAATACGACATTGTTAGAACTAGCCGAGAAATTATCAGTATGCATTCTCGAAGAGGATAAAAAGACAGAATACGCTTTATTTCATGCCTCGATTCCCAAGACTGTTCTGACTGCGACGGCCAATACTATCCTACCAAATGTTTGTAATATGTTGCGCAAATATCTTACTGCTGAAATGTTAAAGATTCAAGAGGATCAAATAAAACAGGCGCTTCATTACCATGGTGTAAAAATAGAAAAAAATGTGTTGCAAAGATTTGTCGCGGTAAATAAAGATCTATATAGTCGTTATTTTTTAAGGAACATTTCAAAGTATTAACAGACATATATATACGTACGTATAAATTTTTTAGGTTGATTTTGACAATCCTAACTTATTTGGTGAAAATCAAAATTTTACTGATATCACGGCCAAGTCAATGCTTAATCTTGTTGACAAAGATAAGATTGTAGAGATGTGGGGAATTCAACAAATAACATCAAATGAAATAAGGCATTTTGTATTGCTTTTGGATGACGGGACTCATTTATGTTCTTGTTTTGATCTTTGCAATCGTGGAATCGTTTGTCGGCATTTTTTTCAAATCATGTTATGTACACAGGCTGCGACGTTCCATATTCAGCTACTACGATCACGATGGTATAACGATAATGTAACCAGTAGTTCTACAGAAGAACCATTCTTGGTTGCGCAAAAATTTGAAATAGAAAAATCAATAACGATAGGTTGGAATGGTCCAGTTCCTTATCTTAATGTGTTAGTTAAAGAAGTGCATGATACAAACAAAGTAATTGATGAACGAAAGCTATATGGAGAGGCTTGGGGCAAAGCAAGAGCAGCATTAATGGTAGCAGTTCAGAGGAATGATTACAAATTTATTGCTATTCTTGATAAATATATAAATGATTGTCAAGAGCCATCATCTGATAGCGATGTAGATTCAAGTGATTCAAGTTATGAAGATGAAGTCGAAATTAATAATGGGGGGTTGGATCCAAGTGAGTTGATGAATCCTCATAAGCGTAAAGGAAAAGGACGACCAAAAGGAACTGATAGAATAAGACGTGCAGGTGAGCCATCAAAAAAAACAAAGCGCAAATTACATTGTAAGATTTGTGGAGGTGCTGGACATAATCGGGTGACCTGTTCTCAAAGAAAAAAATAGTTTATTTGTGTACTGGTTGTATACAAGAAATAATTTCTATGTATATCTATCGCTATTGCAATAATTAAAATGTTAGTGATATGTATCAAGAAAATGGATAAGAATTAGAAATTAAGTTGATCATCGTATAATGATTTCTTTGAATGATTTTACTACATATCTTGCTAAATCTAACCTTAATACAAATGTTAATTCAAATATCAATGAACTTTAAAGAATTTTGCACATTTCAAATATGCGATCGGGACTTGCCTCATATGACTAGTTTACATTAAATTGTGTAATACCCGAAGTTTTATACGTATTAGTAGATTAGTCACATGGTCACGTGAATATAAAACTTCGCGTTCAAAGCTGTAGGTTTCTGCCAAGGTTCATTCTATTGCGCTAATGGTATAAACAAGTTTCTTTAACGGCAATAATTTAGATTCTTAGTCTTCCTTAGTTAGCGTTTTTATCAGTTATGTATTGGTATAAATCCTTTTATTAATGCATGAAAGACTGTTATTTATGGAGATTTTTGAAGTAATACCTGATTTTTGGCAAAACGAATCGAGGTAAGACCGTCCCAAATTTGGAAATGATATCCGATTGTTATACAATTGCCAAATAATTTTTTTTATACGTTTTACAATACTCTTTTCAAAAAGCTCGGGTAGCTTAACTTTCTATTAAACTTTAGAAAATATAACGGATGAATTGATGCCTTCACTTCGCTTCATAACATATCTTTTGAATCCTTTTGAATCCCCCAACTTTTTTTCCTCAAGATGATTGGCTAATTCGCTAAAATTTACAATATGATTG